ATTCACTGGTCATACTGTCAAATTCACTGGTCATGCTATCATATTGTCTGTCATACTATTGGATTCACTGGCCATACTATCACATTCACTGGTCATACTATCACATTCACTAGTCATACTATCATATTCACTGGCCATACTATCACATTCACGGGTCATACTATCCCATTCACTGGACATACTATTAAATTCACTTGCCATATCACATTATTGGCCATACTATCACATTAACTGGTCATAGTATCACATCACTGGTCATACTATCACATTCACTGGACGTAATATCACATACACTGATCATACTATCACATTCACTGGTCATACTATCAGATTCACTGGTCATACTATCACATTCACTAGACATACTATCACATTCAATGGTCATACTATCACATTCACTGGTCATATTATCACATTCACTGGACATATTATCACATTCACGGGTCATATTATCACATTCACTGGACATACTATCACATTCCCTGGTCATACTATCACATTCACTCATGGTCATACTATCACATTCACTGGCCATACTATCACATTCACTGGTCATACTATCACATTCACCGGACATACTATCACATTCACAGGACATACTATCACATTCACTGGACATACTATCACATTCACTGGACATACTATCACATTCACTGGACATACTATCACATTCACTGGTCATACTATCACATTCACTGGTCATACTATCATATTCACTGGACATACTATCACATTCACTGGACATACTATCACATTCACTGGACATACTATCACATTCACTGGTCATACTATCACATTCACTGGACATACTATCACATTCACTGGACGCACTTCGATAATCCTGTCATATTTCATAGACGTACTGTCAAATTTCATAGATAAACTGTCAGATTTCATAGACATACTTTCATATTTCATAGACATAATGTCATTAATATTCCCTGGACGTTATTTCCCATATCTTTCAGTAATGTTATTCCAATATAGATAACCAGCTTATTGTAAATTGTAATCCGGTTTCATTTTGACTAAATGCTATTCGGATGTCATTTGTTGTATTTTATTTTAGTTAAACTCATGAATTAAGTTTACAAACATATAGTCATTCAATTATCTTTCATTTGATACCAAATTTTGTCTTACAAACCCCACAATAATTTTAAAATATTTTTGTAATAAACCAAAACTATAACTTCTCGGACCCGGGTCCGAATAGCCGCAGCCTTATAGATATGAGAATGGGGAAAACACGTGGGCCGCATTAACACTAAACTTTGTTTTCAGGTAGCGGGCCGCAGAATATCGTCTAGCGGGCAGCGGGCCTCAAATGGCCAGCGGGCCGCGAGTTTGAGACCCCTGCTATGTGGGCTTACTGTTTTCTCTGTCCACAAGTTCTATTTTAATACAAGTATCGGATCTTCCCACAACAATGAACAAGAAAAAGGCCATTGCACCCATCCACATCAACAGCGAGCCATTAGCTCATTACAAAAGTAGGCTATATGCTTAGTTAACACTCAACTCTGGAAGAATTGATTGGAAAGCGTGCCTCAAATAGAATGCGGCGTCACCGCCTCAAAAGTGTTGGATCGAAATGGTATTTGTTTTATAAATGTAAGGCTGTGTTGAGCTCAGGCACATCCACATCTCAACTGCTTCAAAGGTGGTCAGTTTAGATCAGGGGTGGCCAGCATGCGGCCCGCCGGGAGTCATGTTGCGGCCCGCGGAGCTAGGTCAAATGAACATAAATTATGTTATCTTTATTGCACTTATCACCAAAAGAACATTACATCATGAGGCGTTAGTATCATACATTTTTAAATTATAGCTTTGAGAAATGTGAAATATATTGCATGTTTTTGGTAGCCGTATGAATGAAGCACACCAAATCACAAGTGAGTACATGAATTACTGAGGTTCATTTAGAAAACAGTTTACGTGTAGCGACATCATCAGTCAATATCAATTTTGATGCATTTTTTTAATGCAAAACAAAGCCAGATGTCTCACTTTTAAATATGTTTAAATTGTCTAAAAATATGTTTGATTCTCAGTTATGTTTTATTTTCTTGAACAAAAAAATAAATATCCCTACCCATTTCTTCTTCTTCTTCTTTTTTTTTTATGACATTAAACCAAGCAACCGTTTGACCACTATCTCACCTACTGGGAAGCGACGATGTGGTCGAAGCTGTTATAGCACGCTTGCTGAGTTACTTTAATTTAAAAAAAAAAAATAATAAAAAATGAAAGATAGGTGTGTGGCCCGGCAGGAAATATAATTTCTGAAATTTGGCCCGCCTGCTGAAAAGGTTGGCCACCCCTGGTTTAGATGGTTACGAGGGTGTCATTTGTCTGATAAATGCCATTAATTTAATTTTTTTTAAACACAGCCAGTGTTGCACAAGTGCCGTGATGTATTGCATACACCATTTGGGTTATAAGAATGTCCCCCCCCCTCCCCATTTTGTCACTACCAAGTAAGTAGCGCCCCAACACTATAGATACTGCAGCTACTCCATCCAGTGTGTGCTGTGAATATGAAGAGTCTTACTTCCCATGTAACGCCATCTCCCTCTCTTCCTCCACCTCCCTCTCCCCGTTCTCTTTTCATTCTCTCGCACTCAAAAATCATTCTTTCTCACTCTCTCTCTCTCTCTCTCTCTCTCTCTCTCTCTCTCTCTCTCTCTCTCTCTCTCTCTCTCTCTCTCTCTCTCTCCCCCTCCCTCTCCCCCCTCTCTTTTTTTTCTCTCGCACTCACAAATCACTCTCTCTCTCTCTCTCTCTCTCTCTCTCTCTCTCTCTCTCTCTCTCTCTCTCTCTCTCTCTCTCTCTCTCTCTCTCTCTCTCTGTCTCTCTCTCTCTCTCTCTCTCTCTCTTGTTTTCTCTCACTTTCTCTTTTGCCTTCTGTCTCACACTCATTCATTTCTTTCAATCTTATCATCCCTATCACCCTCCCTCACCACCACGCCACACGTCCCCGAAGAGGGAAGGGGGCGGAGTGGATGGTTCCCCCCCCCCGGCGGCACTTTTTTTTGCATCTTAATTAATGCGGCGGGATTTTCGGACAACTGCAGTTTTTTTTTTTGTTTTTTTTTTTTTTGTTTTTTTAACGCCTATGGGCAGGTGTCAGGAATTGTTGGTTTTGGGGGTGTGGGGGGGGGGGCTGGGGTTTAACAAAAACATTGAGAAAGTCACAGAAGAGAGCTAAGGGCCAAAGTAGTTTGAGTACCCCTGGATTATATGACTCTATATAAAAATGTAACACCATAAACTGAGTAGTATCATACAGTATGACAGAATGTACCATTTGGCATCATAAACCATATCAGCACCATTGATAATTCCAATACTGAATGTCTCAATCAAGGTCAGACCTGGCGCTCTCTTCACGGCTGTCTCAGAAGACAACGGCTATGTTTCATTTGTGCTGCCTGCGCCGTCTGCAGCTTGATCCAACTCTCACTCACCTCCACCGCGAGCCCATTCTACTTGTACCACCAGGCCCTGGGCACGGCGGCTGATGGCGACTGGGCTGGTCAGGGCGACCCCGAGGCGGGCTTCAGGAAGCTCTGGGTCGGGTTCCCGGAGCTCCGCGGGATGGATTGTGTCCAGGCACTGACGTCTCGCGTGAAAAACGACATGTACCGACAGAACGTCTCCCAGAAGGACCTGAGCCACTACAGGCAACTGAGCCAGGACTGCATCGACTTCCGGGGCGTTATGGGCTTCACGCGATATCCCAAACTGTCCCCGGAAGAGATGGGCTTCCCCATTGCATTTATCATTTTGTTTCATAAGGACCTCGATCAAGTGAGCAGTCAAGAACCTAGCGGTTTAAAAATCACCAAGTAAAATTTTAAAATATTGTCATAACTATTCTAAGTGACTAAGCCTAGATCGATAGAATTAAAAAAATAAAAAATTTAACAACCCCCAAAAAAGCTAAATTTTTCGTATAAATCATTTCGATGCATTTTTTAATTATCATTTATTATATTAATACGCCAACGTCCCCCCCCCCCCCCCCCC